TCACCGTGAGCACTCGCTCAGCTGCCTGGGCAAGGGTCTGTAGTGTGGAGATGTGAGATGGGCCGGGGCTGGGCCTGTGGCCTCCCAGCATGATTTTGGAGGTGCCTCTTTCTCCCTGGGTCTTGGTTGTTTCTTAGGAGCGCTTACCTTCTGCTGTGTTTTGCTTCACCTCAGCCCATTGCTTTCTGGTCCTCTCTCGCCTCCCACGTCCCTCTGATAGCAAAGGCAGTGTTGTGTCTTCTTGTTTCTCAAGCTGCACCATGGTACGGGGGAGATAGTCATGGGCGTGGGACCCGAGGGCTTCGTTTTCAGTATTGGTTCTTTCATTTTGTAGCTGTGTGATCTTGGGCAAATCATGTGACTTCCCTGGACTTCTCTCTTCATCTGCAGAATGAGACAGGCTAGGTGGAGGGCTCTTAACCTGTCTGTGGCAGGCGAGTTGTTTAGGGGCCAGGGATAGAGATGTAGAAACAGGGGTTATGCTGGCCATACTTACCCCCAGGTCCCACTGTCCTAACACTGTGGGAAATGCAGAGCAAAGAAAGCTGAACCAGGAGGACAGTTTATAAGATGATTCCAAGACTGCAAGGGACTGAAAGACTTCACAACTCTCCTCAGTGCCCACTGGTGAAGCCTTGTGCCTCCTCCTGCTCCTCCCACCCCTCATTCCAGCACAGTGGTGCTCAGCAAGCATTTGTTAAGCACCAACTATGTGCCAGGGCTGTGCTAAGCACTGGGGATACAAAGAAAGGTAAAAGACAGTCCCTGCCCTGCCAGTCTAATAAGGGAGACAACATGCAACACGCAGCCAACCATGCACAAACCGAATGCGGGACGGACTGGAGAGAATCTGTAGAGGGAAGGCACCAGCATGGTGGGGGAGAAGGAAAAGCTGGTGGAGAGAGAGATTTTAGCTGGGATTTGGAGGAAGCCAGGGAGGCAGAGACATGGAGATGGGGCGTGAGTTCAGTCAGTGATGATGCCTGAAGTCAGGAGTGGGAGGGTGTGTCTGAGGAGCAGCCAGGAGGCGTGTCCCTGGATTGACGAGGATATTGGGGGAGCGAGGTGCGAGAAGATTGGAATGGTAGGAGGGGGGTGAGGGAACCAGGAAAGTCCTGCAGAATGGAGGATTTGAGCTAAATTTTGATCAAGCTAATGTTTAGTTGGTTTATTAAAGGAAACCAGGGAAGCTGGGAGCTGAAGGTGAGGAGAAAGGACAATAGTAGAGATGGAGTCAGGAGATGAAATGTTGTATGTGAGGAACTGCGGGTAAGCCCTAGTGTAACTGGTTTGAGTCTTTTTGCATATATGGAGGAGAATAGTGTTAAGACTGGGAAGGTAGGAAGGAGTCAGGCTGTATATGCCAAACAAAGAATTTTATATTTGCTGCTGTCATAGGGAGCCCCTGGAGTTTATTGAGGGCAGTAGGGGATGGTATGGTTAGATGTGCAATTTAGGAAGATCACTTTGGCAGCTGAGTGGTGAATGGATTGGACTGGGGAGCAGGGTAGGACCAGTTAGGAGGCCATTGCAGTAGTACAAGTGAAGGCTGATGAGGGTCTGCAGTAGGGTGGTGGCTGCACCGTTGGAGACAAGGGGTGTAACGGAAAAGCTGTTATGAAGATAGAAACAAGACGATCTTAGCAACACATGATGTATGATGTGTTTCCCTTAACTGCAACCTCTATAAGCATTTTGTGGGACCATTTACACACGTCTCTGAAGTATTTCACTAGAGACCTCCTGCCAACTTGCCATTGAACTATTAGTAGCTGCTTTTGGAGTCCAGCTCTCCAGCCAGTCCTGAATTCATTTAGTTGCATTATTATCTGGTCCCTATCTTTCCATCCTCTATAGAAGAATAGCGTGAGATAGCTTTATTAGACACCTTGCTGTAATCTGGGAAAAGAATAACTACAGTATTCCCTGGATTGCCAGAGCTTAGTAACCCTGCTTAAAAAAAAAAAAAAGAAATGAATTTAGTCTGGTGTGCATGACCTGTTCTTCAAGCTCTTCCAGGTTTCTCTTCTTAATGCTCACCAGCCTTCCCTTTAATGATCCGTTCTAGAATTTTTCCAAGTATTAATAAGTCAAGTTCACTGGCTGCTCTCCTGTTTCTTTCACTCTTTCAGACATCTCTGGCAATGACTCAGTAATCCCATCAGTCCATTCGTTTAGTACCTTAAGATGCAGTTCCTGTGGGCCAGGTGCCTCGAGTCAATTAAGAGAAGTGAGGTGTCTCCCTCTCCCATGAGCTCTTTTTGCTTTACTGTAGCAGAACCGCCTCTTTGTCCATCTTCGATCATCTGCGTTTCGTGCTGCAATTCTTAATCAGCACTATGTTGCATCCACTATGCATGTCTTCACTGCCTGAAGGAGGGTCTGCAGCTTTCATCTTCAGAGATGCTGCAGGATGTGTAGACGGAACAGTCAGGTGACTTGAATTCATCCAGAATAAGATAGCTGCTTTCTTACTGTCTTGTTAATTACCTTGGGTATCACCTCTATATTAGCCATTTTTTGTTTTGTCCTTTCCATCCAAAGGTCATTGATTCTCCTTGACAGAAGCAAATAATAATTAAGCAGTTCTCTCTTCACTCTGTCATCAGTTATTACTCATCTACTCTGGGGTGTGAGCCTGCCCTTTTCTGGTCCTCCTCTTTTCCACAGCATAACCTTTGAAAACATTAAGTTCCCTGTGTATACACATTCTATTCTGACAACTCCTGTTTTTTTCTTATCAGATATGTTTCTTGTTATCTTTAGAATTTCATTCTCATGAGATTGCCATCCCTCTTTGTGTTCTCCTGAAGAATTTTAGTCTATGGGATCCTGCCTAGTCTTCCCTTGACCTCTTTGAAATTTGTTCCCAAATCTAGGGTGCTTGTTTTTCTTTCTGCCTCTCACACAAAACCTAGGAGGAAGTTGTCCCTTTCCCCCCAAATTCTCATCATTTCCATTCTAGTGCCCGGTTCCTCTCTCTTGGTGCAAATCAGATCCACGATAGAAGTGTGCTGCTTTAGTTCCTCTGCCTGCGCAGAGTGAAATCATCATTGGGTCAAATCAAGAAATGATCTGCTCTGCTTTGGGCATCAGCACATGTCTGGGTATTTGAAATGTTCCCATCCTAACTCTGAGCTATAGAACCACAGCCTTAGAGCCAGAAGGACCTTAAAGGCCATCTAGTCTGTCCTTTCATTTTACAGATAAAGAAACTGAGGCCAGAGAGTTAATTGACTTATTCAGGGTTACACAGGGAGTAAGTGACAGTTGGGCTTTCAATCTAGGCCGTCTGATTCCCACTCCTTTTATTCCAAATCATACTTCCCCAGTGCCTGAAGACTTGCCAGCATTATGGAGTATGAATTTTCTAATGTTGAGTAGGGCAAGCGCCTTTGCTAAAGACCTTCCTGCCTAATTATATGTCTAGGGTTTCTCTCCAATATGCTTCTGCTGATACTGAGTAAGGTACATATTCTAGTTTGATTGCAGGTTTTCCACATTCACTATGTTAACCATCTTCATGACTCTTTCAGTCATTCCACTCTCTAATCCACCTCCTGCAAAGCTGCCAGGAACATTGGAACTATGGTGTAGGTTTGACCACGTCATTGCCCTACTCAGAAAACTTCAGTGACTTACTGTTGCCTTAAGGATAGAGATAAACTACAAACTCCTTAGCCTTGCTTCTAAAGCTTTCTAAAGGCTGGCTTCACCTTACCCCTCCTGCCTTATTTTATGGTACTTGTCGCACTTTACTCAGACTAAACTGAAAACTGTTCTCGAAACGTGGAGTTCTATCCCCCATCTCTGTGCCTTTGCCCAGGCCATGTTCCATGCTTGGAATGCACTCTTTCACTCTCTTCACCTCTCACATTCCTTCTTTTCCTTCAAGGGCCCACCCAAGAGCAGCCTCCTCCATGAACTTTGCTTGATCTCTCCAGGAGTTAGTGTTGCTTGTCTCCCCAGATGGCCTTGTATTTATCAGTTTTTTTTCCTCCTCCACCATAGCATGTGTGCTTTTGAGGGTACGAACTGTTTCTCTTTTTTGTCTTTATGTCCCTAGTTCCTAGCACAGTGTGTTGTCTATGGGTGTTGCTTAATAAATATATTTTTAATGAGTAATTCCCTAGGAAAAATGTCCTCCACAAAATAGGGTTTACTCTTCAGTTTCCTTTCTCTCAGTGTAGTAGGCAAGGGACATTTATCTATCTTCCTGTCTAAATATCTTAATTTTTTTCAGATAATGATACTACACCTGGGTCCATGGAGATAGATTCAAAGGATGGCATTCCTATGGAAGAATCACTGCAAGAAAGCTTCCCGATGAGTGTTCCCTTGGACTTTAAGTTGGAACAGGTCTGGGAATATGATGCCATGTTTGAGAAGCAAATCAGCAAGCGGGAGAAAGATTTAAGGCAAGTAACACACACCGACAATGACACTTCCAGTGAAGTGAGTGATCAGGAGTGTAATACGTTTGGGAGAAGTTTCAGTATGATGTTACTCACTGATGCACAGGAGAACATTACTATTAAAAAAACTCTCCACAAATATGACACACGTGGAAATAACTTCAAACAATATTCAGAGCTAGTAAGGCGCAATAGAATTGCCTTTGGGAAGAAACCGTATAAGTATAATGAATGTAGCAAAGCTTTCAATTATCACTCAGACCTGATTCGATATTACAGACTACCTGGTGGAAAAAAATCTTACGATATTGATGAGTTAGGGCAGAGCTTCCCACAGAGGAGGCACCTTATTCAACATGCTAGAATTCCTTCTGGAGAGAAACCCTTTAAGTGTAGTGAATGTGGAATAGCATTCAGACAAAGTATGCACCTTATTCAACATCAGAGAATCCACACTGGAGAGAGACCTTATAAATGTAGTGATTGTGGACAAGCCTTCAGACAAAAAATGCACCTAATCCGACACAAGACGCTTCACAGTGGAGAGAAACCTTATCAGTGTAATCACTGTATTAAATGCTTTAGTGATAGCTGGTCGCTTGCTCTACATCAGAGAATCCACACTGGAGAGAAGCCTTATAATTGTAGTGAATGCGGAAAAGCTTTCAGACAAAAAATTCACCTTACTCGACATAAGACACTTCATATTGGGGAGAAACCCTTTAAATGTAATCAGTGTGGGAAGTGTTTCAGTGACAGCTCGCCCCTTCTTCTACACCAGAGAATTCACACTGCAGAGAAACCTTATAAATGTGGTGAATGTGGAAAAGCCTTCAGACAGAGTATGTATCTTATTCGACATCAGAGAACTCACACTGGGGAGAAACCCTTCATTTGTGGGGACTGTGGAAAATCTTTCAATGACAGCTCAGCCCTTACTTTACATCAGAGAATTCATACTGGAGAGAAACCCTATGAATGCAAAGAATGTGGGCAAGCCTTCAGTCACAGTGGCAGCCTTACTCAGCACCAGAGGATTCATACCGGAGAAAAGCCTTATCCATGTAGTGAATGTGGTAAGGCTTTTAGGCAGTATTCGGCCCTCGCTCACCACGAGCGAACTCACACTGGAGAGAAACCATATATTTGCACGGAATGTGGAAAAGCTTTTAGTCACAGTGGAACCCTTACTCAGCACCAGAGGATTCATACTGGAGAGAAGCCCTATGAATGCAGTGATTGTGGTCAAGCCTTCACTTACCAGGCCAGTCTGACGAAGCATCAAAGAAGTCATACAGGAGAGAGACCTTACAAATGCAGTGAATGTGGGAAATCCTTCAACCAGAATATTTATCTTACTCAGCACCAGAGGATTCATACTGGAGAGAAACCCTATAAATGTGCTGATTGTGGAAAATCGTTTAGTCATAGGGGAAGCCTTACTGCACATCAGAAAATTCACACTGGAGAGAAATCCTGTAAATGTCCTGTTTGTGGGAAGGCTTTCCGCCACATGAACCAGGTTACTCAGCACCTCAGAATTCATACCGGAGAAAAACCCTATACATGTATGGAATGTGGGAAATCCTTTAGTCATAGTGGAAGCCTTACAACGCATCTGAGAATTCATACTGGAGAGAAACCGTATAAATGTGGTGAATGTGGAAAAGCCTTCAACCAGAATATTTACCTTACTCAGCATCAGAGAATTCATACTGGTGAAAAACCTTATACATGTAATAAATGTGGTAAGAACTTCAGGCAATACTCAGCCCTTAGTCACCATGAGAGAACTCATACTGGAGAGAAACCCTATATGTGTATGGAATGTGGGAAAGCTTTCAGTCAGAAGGGAACTCTTACCAATCATCAGAAAATTCATACTGGAGAGAAACCTTTTATATGTAGTGAATGTGGAAAAGCCTTCAACCAAAATATTTACCTTACAAAGCATCAGAGAATTCATACCAGAGAGAAACCATATAAATGTAATGAGTGTGGGAAAGCCTTCAAGCAGGTCTCAGCCTTAAAGCACCATAAGAGAATCCACAATAGAGGGAAAACCTTGTAATTGCAGTTCATGCGAGTAAGCCTTCAGTTGGCAGCGATGCCTTGGTCAGCAATATCAGAGAAGTAATGCTGGAAGGTAAACGTAGCCAGGATACCAAAACTCACTGTGTGGATCGGTAGGCCGGTTTCTTTGGAATCTCATTTGGGAGGCCCTGTGCTATGTCAGGCCTTGCTGTCATTAGCACATCCTACAAACAGGAATGTCTGGAGGACCTCGCCATCTATTGGGAATCCCTCTTGTGCTTGGACTCTGAGGTGGACATCACGGTCAGCAAGCATTTGTTATGTGCCTGCTCTGTGCCAGGCACTGTGGTACGTGCTTGAGATACAGAGACAGACATGAAATAGCCCCTGCCCTCAAGGAGCTTAAATTCTGCTGGGGAGACAAGGGCATACAGATGCATGCATGTGGTATAATATACAGATGCAAAAGGCAGTGTTTGGGGTGGGAGTGGGAGAAGGTGGGGGCAGGGGAAAGGGGATCAAGAAATCCCTCCTGTAGAAGGTGGCATTGGAGCCGAGAGTTAAAGAAAACCAGGGATTCCAGGAGACTGAGGTGGCCAGTGCCTTGTCTGGCAGTTATTGAATGAGTTCCTTTTTGTTGTGTCTCCCAAGCATCCTCATGCTGTTGATGTACACATGGGAGACCCCTGGATAGCAAACAGTTAAGCACAGGGAGATCTTAATGTTCTCTGCACCTTTCGGTCAGTTGTGTGATTGTAAAGCTCTAGTCTGCTCTAGAATAGAAGTTTCTAAAACCTGCTTATTCCTTTCTCCTACTTTGAGCAAGAATGTTCCTGATTCTGTCTAGATTATTCTCAATAAAGATTTTGAAGAGCTGGAAATGGTAGGCATATAGGTTGGTAGTTATCCTCAGTTTGACTCCTGTCTCAGCAACAGAGACTTTCATGCCAAAGGGGAAAATGGTATTATTACTGTGAATGTGGGAAAGCCTTTAGTCAACTCAGAAGTTTTTATCAGGGGAAGGAGCCCATAAATATAACTTGAAATGTAGTGTTTGTGGAATGGCCTTTTACCACGTGAACCAGGTTACTCAGCATCTGAGAATCCATCCTGGAGAGAAACCCTATACATGTATATCACACAGAAAAATCTGTTAGTCCCAGTGGAAGCCTTATTACACATCAGAGGATCTGTACCGGAGAGAAATCTTATAAATGTTTCTCCCAGTGAGCATGAGCAGGTCTTTTGTGGTTTGCTCTTCTGCTCACATTCCACAAAAGGGTTATTTGGCGATGTAAATGTAAGTCAGATCTGTAGTTAACAAAATGGTCCAGTTATTTTGCTACATGGGGTGGAGAAATAGAAAATTTCTCCATTTGCTTTTCTCTGGTAATACACTATTGCCATCAAAAGAGCGTAGGTTCATAAAAGGCCCATCAGCAAGTACACAGGTGTTTAGCTAAAACAGTGTCTTCAAAATGAGAGTATTTCTTGAAGCAAAAAAGGGAACCCATTCATCAAAACTAACATGTCACTTTCCAAAACATTCAGTGGCTAGATAATCTTTTTTTGTGAGGGAATAAGTGGAACATGTAGATGAGCTAGCTGGTGACTTATGATATCAAAGGGTTTAAAGGAAACTTAGAGAGTAGAAGATGCCAAGAGCCAGAAAACAGTTGGGAAGTGGAGTGTGGGTTAGTGGCCTCTTGGGCGTGGCCAGCCCGGATATGAAGACAGGCGTTCATAGAAGAGAAAAGTGATAGCTCTGGTTTGTCCTTAGGATCGTCTGGTCTCAGTGTTTGAAAGTCGTTTAAGACAGGTGCCAAAAAGAAACTTCTGGCCGGACTGGAAGAAGATACAAAACAAAATTATTTTCTTTGCTTGTTTTTATATGTTCATTTGTTTCTACTGATGTTTTGTATGTTTGTTTGACTGTTTTTGTCTATGATTATTGGATTTAATAAAAAAGAATTGAGATGAATTCTTGATTTGGGTACTCAAAACAGAGTCCTGGCCAGTGGGGGAAGCATAGCCCTGGAGGCCAAGGGAATGCTAAAGAAGGTAGTAATCACAAAAGGCTTGCTGAGGAATGGATGCTTAAGTTTAGGAAGGTTGCTTGGACTAGGCACGTGCAGAAGAATTTCAGTGACAGGGCCTGTGATTTTGGTTGGTGTTGGGAATTCCCTCTACCAAAAGCATCTCAACATCCGGACTTCAACTTATACTCTTCGACAGTCACCTGGGGCGGTGAAAGATTACAGGACTTAAACCTAGGTCTTGCCAGCTTCCTGGACTGCTCTCTGTCTACTCTGCCTCTCTTTTTCAATAATACAATGAAAAAATAATAACAGTAAGAGCTAGGACATCTTGGACCATTGTTTAACATTTAAGAAGGGGAAATTCCTGCATCATACAGGAGAAGAAGGAGGGATGTCCTTGATTATGGTCATGTATTGTTTAATGTTTTTAAGATGCCTGTGTTCACTGTAGTTGTGTGATGCACAGATGGCACACATCACATTTTCAGACAACACAAGGCTTGGAAGGATAGAATCAGGATCATAAAAAGATCTAGACAAGCTAGTATTTGGAGCCAGAGAAGATTTGTAATAGGGGTAATTGTCGTTCCAAACTTGAACTTGAAAAATCACCTCCACAAATTAAAGGGTCAGCATGGCCAGGCAGGAGTTTATTGGTAGAACATCCAGGGCTTTAATAGCCCCCTAGTTTGGGTCAGCAATTTGATGTGGTACATGCAAGGCTGGAAGAAGCAAAATTTCACTGGAAAGTGAGCCAGAGTACAGACAGCTGTACTTGGAATCAGTCAATCTGGGTTTGTATCCCAGCTCTGACCATTACTTTGTGACCAAGGGCCAGTCACTGAACCTGTTTTCCTAATCTGTCAAAATCCTTCCTCTCCCTGGCTTCACGGTGTAAAAAAAGTGCTTTGTAGTTAGCATTGATATGGCAAATTTGCAAAGTGCCTTACATATGTTATATCTTGTGGTCCTCTCTCTGACCCTGTGAGCTAGCTGAGTGCTAGCCTTATCTTTGTATATCTGAGAAGGAGGCTTAGTAAAGTCATCATTTGTTCAGCACCATACAGCCAAATGAGTGTCTCAGGCAGGATTTGAATTCAAGTCTTCCTGACCCTAGGAAGACTTCTTCACTGTAGCGCCTAGCCATCTCTGCCTTTGTGAACCTTCAAGCACTACTGACATGGGAATTACTGTAATCAATACTATTCTGCTCTTCTGAAAACAGGCAAAATCAGACAGCTTTTCTGTATATATACTTGCCTAAGATACTAGAGATTGCTTAGGATAGTAGAGAAAGGGATGACTTTTCCTGAGTATTGTCAGACACTTCAGAATCTGGGATAATTTATATGAGTAGTATGTGGAAGCCTACAACATCCTTAAGGGAGGACTTCATGCAGGGTCAGTTAACAAAGACAGCTGGAAAAAGAGTAAATTTGACTAATTGATTTCTTTCCAGCTCTAAATCTACAATCCTGTAACAAACTTCCCAGGAGTCATGGAATCTCATTGGTTCCCAAAGAGGAGCTATCGATGAACTGTTTTATAAAAAATTTAATTTTTTTCTGTTAACAACTATTTTCTCTCTTTCCACCTCCCCAGTGCCCCAATGAAGAGGAAAGAAAAAATAAGCCTGATAATGAATACGTGTAGTAAGGCAAAACAAATTCCCATATTGGCCAAGTCTAGAAATGTCTTTATCTGCAGCCTAAGTCATCACTTTTCCAGAGGTGGATAGTGTGTTTCATCAAGGGAATTTGTGATCTTCTGTATCGTGGTCACTGGACTGAATTCTTCAAAGTTGTTTGTCTTTACAGTGTTGCCTTGCATCCTCTACCTCCAGCCCCCCAGGGAGCTTCCTAGCCTCCCACAGCATACATTCCATCCGGCTCTAGGTACTTGGGGCACTTAGAACACACAGCAGCTGCCATTCTAAATCCATAATCCTGTAGATACTCCCTCAGGCCAACTATAACTTGACCCATTTCTCCCCCATTCCCACCCCCTTTTCAACTAGTGTTGTTTACTGACTGCCTGGTACAACTCCGCTGACCTCAGTGGACAATGATGACTGAATTGAACTTATTCCTTAATGATAAAAATGTCCTCACCCTGTCATTGGCATGACTAAAACAACTGAATAACGAAAACCAAAAAAAACCCAGCCCCCAAACAAACAAAAAACCCCTGTCTTTTCCTTTATTTATTTTTAACATTAAATTTTTTTTGGTTTCAAATTCTTTCCTATTAGTCTCTCTCCCATCCATTGAGAAGGCAAGCAGTATATCCATTCTGCATGGGAAATCATGTAAAACATTTGCAAAGAAGTGAAAAAATATATTTCAATTTGCACTCAGTGTTAATCAGTTCTCTCTCTGGAGGTGTATAGCATTTTTCATCACAAATCCTTTGGAATTATGTTGGATCATTGTATTGATCAGAGTAAGTCACAGTTGATCATTACAATATTTCTGTTACTACATACAATGTTCTAATGATTCTGCTCAGTTCGCTTTACATCAATTCATACAAGTCATCCCAGATTTTTCTGAAACCACCCTGCTCAACATTTTCATTTTTTTCAATGTTTCTTATAGCAAAATAGTATTCCATTACAATCATACCCCACAACTTATTCAGCTATTCCCCAATTAATGAGTATCCCCTCAATTTCAAATTCTTTGCCACCACGAAAAAGCCGCTATAAATAGTTTTATACATATAGGTCCTTTCTTCTTTACATTGATCTCTTTGGGATAGACTTAGTAGTGGTATTGCTGGTTCAAAGGATATGCACTGTTTGATAGCCCTTTGGGCATAGTTCCAAATTGTTCTCCAGAATGGTAGGGTCAATTTACGAACTGCATTAATGTACCTATTTTTCCACATTTCCCCCAGCATTTGTTATTTTCCTTGTCTGTCATGTTGGCTAATGTGACAGATTAGCTGTTTTTGATTTGCAGTTTTCTAATCAGTAGTGATTTAGAGCTTTTTAAAAATATGACTATAGAAAGATTTGATTTCTTCTGGAAACTGCTTGTTCATATCCTTTGACTGTCAATTGGGGAATTGCTTTTTAAATCAATTTTACTCGGTTCCCTACATATTTGAGAAATGAGGCTTTTATCAGAGAAACTTGCTATAAAATCTCTCCCTGTCTCTGTTTCCTGTTTTCCTTCCAATTTTGGCTGCATTGGTTTTGTTTTTTACAAAACCTTTTTAATTTTGTGTAATCAAAGTTATCAGTTTTATTTTGGGTGACCCTCTGTTTCTTGTTTGGTCATAAATTCTTCCGTTATCCATAGATTTGACAGGTAAAATTTTCCATGCTCCCCTAATTTGCTTATGATATCTTTATGTCTAAATCATGTAGCCATTTTGACCTTATCTTGGTATATGGAATGAGAAATTGATGTATGCCTGATTTCTGCCACACTGCTTTCCAGTTTTCCCAGCAATTTTTGTCAGACAGTGAGTTCTTACCCCCGAAAGCTTGGATCTTTGGGTTGATCACGCAGTAAATGACCATGGTCATTTACTGCTGTGTGTGGTGCACCTGATCTAGTGCATCCAGTCTTTTCCGCTGACCCACCACTCTATTAACTGGCACCGGATTGCTTTGATGATAACTGCTTTGTAATGTAGTTTGAAATCTGGTGCTGCGAGACTACTTTCATTCACATTCTTTTTCATTTATTTCCTTGATATTCTTGACCTTTTGTTCTTCCACATGAATTTTGCTATTTTTTTTCTAGCTCTATAAAGTAATTTTTGGTGGTTTGATTGGTATGGCACTGAATAAATAAATTAATTTAGGCAGAATTGTTATTTTTATTATATTGGCCCAGCCTACCAATGAGCATTTCGTATTTCTCCATTTGTTTAAATCTGTCTTTAGTATTACCTCGAGTTTCTACTGTATTGATTTCTACTGTATTGATTCTACAATGTAACTGATTTTTTGCTGTATTGATTTTTATAATTGAGTCTGCAGCTGCCAAAAGTCCTCTCTCTAGGTCCTTGAGTTGAGCTCAGGAATTTAGCTTTCCTTCTGAGTTATAAATTATCATTATAAAGTTATAATTAATGGGAAAACTGTTGTTTACAATACTTTCAGCTCCTGGGAAAACTCTAGGACATCTTTTTGTTATCTTTAAAGGCCTACAGGCTGATTTGGTATATTTCCACAAATCATATTGTCCATCCTTGTTTGACCTTATACAACTAAGGAAGGTCTTAGCTCCCTAACAAGGCCTCCTAGGAGCCAGGTAGTTTGTTATCCCTGGTCCGCTAACGGTGTCCTCAAGATGCAGATGGATCCCATAAGTCAGTCAAGCATTTCTTAATGACAGAGAGGGGTACCTACCAGCCCCATGCAGTTGTTCCCACCCTCTTGATGTTGTCTACCCTGTAACCAATTGCATTGTCTTCCCCAGCTATACAGCTCTGTTCTTTGTTCTCTTGTACTTTCTAAAACTATATGAAGGCTAGTAAGCCCTACCTTGGGGTCTGTGGTTATTAAAATGCCATAAACCCAATTTATTGATTACTGCTAGCCTAAGTAATTGATCATTATTAGATTACAGTCTAATCACGCCTCTCAGTTTACCTTAATTTTCAAATGTAATGGGTCAAGTACGTCTTGCCCAATGACTAACTCCGTTTCCCTTTATTTTCAAGTGACTGTTATTTGCGTCAGCCCCAGTAGTTCCTTTAAGCCTCTGAGCTAGTCTAGTCCACAAGGCACCACCACACTAGTCTCTAGGGACACAGTAATCTTTGTCCACTATGAAATTGTCTCTTCTCCATTCAGCTGAGACAAGATGTGATTTTGACAAACAGAGCTTATACTAAGATGAAACAGTTGCACAGAAATTGAATTTTTGAAGTGTAGTTTTCTTATCACTTGAGTCCAACCCCAAAGGAGGCTGTCTAGCTCAGC